GCTCGGGTGTATAAAAATTCAGGAACCACTGTAGAGCGCTGTGGTTAGTTGACAACTAATCAACTGAACTTTTTAGACACCAACTAATCGATTAATCGATTAATCGATTAGTTGCAAAGAATCAATTGAAAAATTATTTATTTACTTAATGAATTAGTTGCAACTAATCGATTAATTGATTAATCGATCAGTTGCAATTAATCGATTAATTGCAACCTGGTATGTGATTTTGTTTGGTCACATGATATTGCCGAAATGTGTGTAAAATTGAGTTTTAAAGCAATTTTAATTTGTAGGTCTAAAATGGGACAATGTCACATGATTTTAGTCTTTAAGTGTCGTGCACTGTATAACCGAATCTTATCTGATTATAGCTGTTTTCATAAATTCTGAGACACCTAAAAATTTTCTCGTTTCCTGGAGTCTTTTCGGTTTCGTCCAGTAATTACTCAGCTCTCTGGAAACTACTTCACTATTTTCAAATCTTCAGTCTAGAGACAGCGATATAGTTTCCGGAGAGTTAGGTAATTTACCGAACGAAACTGAAAAGATTCCGGGAAACAAGAAAATTTTTAGGTGTCCCAGAATTTATAAAAACAGCTGTAAATATAACCGGTTACTAGATTGCGTCTAGGTTTTGCTCCTGAAACTCCTTGCTGCTATGTCGAATTGGCGAAGAAATATATGAATTTAGCTCCACAAGAACGGCCAATGTATTGAATATTTATAATAAAGAAAAAAATTAATTATTGACATTGGTTTTATATGACTGGTGATCACTTACGGTTAATCAATTAAATAAATATAACTGGTTAATCGAATTTAATCAATTAAATATAACCGATTAATCGGATTTAATCGAATAAATATAACCGATTAATCAGATTTAATCGATTAAATATAACCGATTAAACAGTTTTAACTGGATATAATATAACCAGTTTATATTCGGTTTTAATTTTTAAAAATTACTAAAACCGGTTAATAAAAATAAAACTGGTTCTAACCACTACCTCTTACTATAGCCCCTTATTATGTTTACCGCTTTTCTCACCACTTCTGGAAATACCACATATAGCTGTTTTCCCAATCAAGATCCCAATGCTGCCTTAGGGTTGTTGGTGCTACTTTGCTAATAATGAATTCACATACAAAGACTTCTGCAGTAAACCTTATATAACCCATGTCACATGCAGATGCCTAGTCTTTTCCATGGCTCGGGGCTTCTTTCAAGAATTCTTTATAGACCAAATATATACATCACATGGTCTTACCACTATAGGGCACACATTAAATGCTCCTGAAGGTTACAGAGATAATTAATTAAATTAATTACCACCAGCTATAATCGAACTGTTGACCTCGTCTGTGGAGGATTAGGTGCCTAGACCACTAGGTTATGGGACCCAGCAATAAAGTTATTTGGAGTTAGTTAGAAAGTAAATTTAAAAATTTATTATTAAGATGAGATCATATATTAGAGATATACAAATGTTGCATTTGTTATATAATTTTTATCAGCTATGTACAAATTACAACAGTGTCTTTAGAGTTTTAGATTTCTTTTTTGGGGTTGTTTTTTTTAAAATCAATATTTTCTTTTTTCTTTTTTGTTTTTTGTTTTTTCTGATTATTTTTGTTTTGCTTGTTATTAAAGATTTCTTTCTTTGTCTTATATCTTTTAAAAAGAAAAAATTCTAATACAGTATACAACATTCTGACAATGATTCTAAGAGTAACTTTTGTTATTACAAAATTTAAAACTAGTTTTGAATCCTAGAAAAAGCTAATAGTTGTTATAACAGATTGTATTGGGTATTAGCTTGGTGAGATTTTATTAGAACAAAATACCATACTATAAAGTTGCTATTTGTATAATAATCATATAGTAGTTTATAAAATAAATAGAGGCAAGATCACTTAAAAAAAAAAAAATCTACAAACCTTAGTTTGAGCTTTTACTTTTGTATATAATTTATATTTATTTGTATTTGTACAAATTAAGTTGTATATAGTTTACATGTAGCTTCTTATATAAATTATTCAATAAAGATATAAGCAAGAGCTTACTTTAAAAAAAAAAAAAAAAAAAAAAATCTGCAAACTTATTTTTAAATGATTTTTAAAAAGTTACTACTACTATTGATCAAATCTAATTAAATTAATAATCAAAATTTTAATTTGATCAAGAATTAATTTTTTAAAATTTTAATCTGTTTTTAAAATTAGGAGGGTTTTAATTAATGTGTTTGTGATTTTATTAGTAGAATTTTAAGTTGGCTATATTATAAATAACATTACAGTACTTCTCTTCTATATTACAAGAATATAATTTAAACTAATATTCAAGCTTAAACAGATAAATTTGAATTATGCTTTTACCATAAAAAAGTATAAAATTCTATTTTACTAAGCAAATTATACAGCAATATATTTTGCATTGCAATGTTGCTAGTATAAATAAAAATTTACAATTTTCTATAATAAGCCATAAAAACCTTAATAGATGAAATTAATGTTTTTTGTTTTCCAAATAAAAGAAGCTATTTTTCATGATTCTGCCTAGTAATTTGAGCATTAGCATTCTTAGCTACTATAGTGCGCGATACTTAAAGACTACACAAACTTTAAAAGCCAATAACTTTTGATCTAAAAAAGATATTTAAAAAAGAAAGCCACTATTTTGTAGCTTAATCAATTTACTACAACTTAGTGGCTTTATTTATAATAACTTATTAAAATATATAGCTTTAAAATATATAGTAGTATTTTTATATGATTACATATGAAAAAGTTATAAAATGGAACACATTGAAAAAAATAGCCAATCAAATTGGTTTAAATTTATATAATAAAATCTTAAACCCATTTTAACCAATCAAAATTAAGCAACTATTAAAAACATCAAAAATCAATAAATTAAAGTTTTAAATTTTAAAAATGTGACAAACGTAATATTTAAGTGTAGTATATATTTATTATATCTTTTTTTTTTTTTTTTGCATAAAATAAAGAATAAAGTACATTACTAAAAAATTGAATTCTGATATTGTTAATCATAAAGCTAACAATTTACAATTCTAAACGTTTGTTATTTAATGCATTAAAATACAAACTTCACTTTGCTTTTAGAAATAAGGATAATAATATTTAAAAATAAGTTAATCCAAATTACAATGCAAAAGAAAGACAAAAAGCTAGAAGTCATCAATAAATTTTAGGTAATAATAAAAAATGTTCATCATTCTTCATAGTGATCAGGTAAGTTAAACCCTCACTTCATAACTTAATAGAACAAGGCAACCTTAAATTATCAGATATTTAAAATTACAAAAAAAAACCCCCGAATTTTCGGAAACCATAAATAGTGATTGCAAAATCAATCACGATGATAGTGACAACGTAGAAAAAAGTAATATACAAATTTCTAATGAATCTAAAAAAAGAAATTGTTAGCATAAATAATTATAGAATAGATCTTACTATGCAGGAACTTAAATTTCTTAAGGCGCAGTAACTGCATAGTAACTATGTAGTTACGATTAAATTTAAATGTAATTATGTAATTACTGTATCGTTACTATGCAGTTACTGCGTATTAAGATATTTAAGTTTCTGTAGAGTAGTTGTGATTATAAATAAAGAAAAGCTATAAGCGAAGGTTAAATCTTACCGAAATGACAAGAAAAAAGGTATTATGATCTCATTTATCAGGGATTAAATAATCAACAATCTTTTCAATCGTTTTTTCAACCATTTCACGGAATAACTTTTCCTCTATAAGTGAGCATGAGATTTAGGAAAAAAAAAAGGTAAATTAAATAGAAACTAGCAGGCTGTTATAACTAAGCCATTACATTATTTACCATTGCCTGCAACAGGTCCGATAGCAGCATTTTGCAAAAGATTGGCTTCTCTTGCCTCCGGATGAGTTTTAATGAATTCTGCTCGTGCTTTTGCAGCAGCTTCCTTAATAACTTTTTCTTCATCCTCAGTTTTATATAAATCACATTTAGTGCATTTCTTACATTTTTGTCCGGGTATCGGTCGAAAGTGATCACAAACTATTATAATAATAACGAACTTGTTAGATTCTAATCATGAAAAACGAATATATAACCACCACGCATAAGCTTAAAAGCTTACAATGTGCATACGATTCTTGACGCAAGTCTTTTCTGCACAAATAACACATGACGTACCCTATAATAAAACAATAATCCAGGATTCATTGTGAAAAGATAGCTAAAAGTTCAATAGCAAAAAAAAAAAAGAATTCATACAGACCACAACGACATGTCATCTTATTACAGCCATCTGCCTTTGTAAATGATACATGACACTTTGGACACTAATAAATAAGATAAAATATAAATCCACTTTAGTTATTATTAATGATTGTATGATTAATAATAAACTTACCGTTCGTTTGACAGCTTCGGCCATAGCCCTTTCTACGAAGAGCCGCAAGCTATCTTGCTCTTGTTCGTAACATTTATGAAAGGGTCGACATTCTCGATTGCATAGCATACATGACGATTTAGCGCAGTCAGGATTCTGACACTTAAATACATTTCCTCTACGTTTTCTCTTTACCTTAATCAAAAAAAAAAACATTAAAATCATGGGAAATAATAAACAATTATCAATGAATGAAATTACTCACTCTTTTAACTATATTTTCAAAATCATCAAGAAAAGTTCGTAAAGGAAACACACCCAGTATCCATAATGCTATTTGAGGAAGGACAAAAATGGCAGCGACTTTCAAAGTGCTGATAATGTTCTCAAAGGATGAAAAAAATGGTAATATTGCTAAAGGGATACTAACTACTATCACGGCAGATTTGGGGATTTTTAACTGATAGAATGGACTGTCATCATCAACCTCACAATAAGAACAAAATGGGCATTGAACGAGAGATAAATTTGCTTGTTTTAAAGAATGTTCTATGAGTGAATCTATATAATGTTTGTAAACATCAGGCATCAAAGTTGCTTTGAGTTGATTCTCACTAAAGTAACCAACACATC